TAGCGGATAAAAATCCACAACAATTTCAAAGAAAAATTTATGGTCCAATTCAATTGATGAATTTATTGATGATTTGGTTAGCCCTACGTCATGCATATTTTGCTATACGTTGTTATCATATACACGATCCATTATGGGTAGTAATCAACAGCGATTTGATGGTTGAAAATGAATTCGATAATTGGGCTAATATATTCATTACTGCATTAATAATACAAACCACTTTATATCTGAATATGTTATACTTGAACAATCCAACCACTACCATATTGGATCATATATTGATTAACCGAGAGAATAAATTATTCTATTATCCGTATCAATATCGTCATTATTTTGCTGTCGATTTTATCGGTTTTAAGATGAAAATTTGGTTATATTCAATGTATCTTTTCAAGATAAATGTCGGTTAGTTTTCATAAAAATCAAAAAGATTTATTCTAATAATTTTTGAATCAGATTTATATATCATTGGATTGAGTAAAACTGCTATCGAATATATTTGGAATAATCAGAATTCCTTTTTTGGCCTAGGAACCCTCGGTTACATCCGATTGATTCAATGTCTAATTCATCGTTTTATACTTTTCATTGGCATCTATGTTTATGGTCATGTCAATATATTGATGGCCACTGTTGGTATCGCTTATCTCATTGTTGTGTATGTATTCTTTTGGCAAACCGATCAAATTATCAAGCGTGGTAAAAAACGAAGGGTTATGTGGCGAATGTTGAAATATTTTCACATACGTCATACAAAAAATCTTGAACGAATTCAGACGGGTAATGTTTATTCGAAAGCGTTAATCATATTTTTATTGTTGAATATTCCATTCAATTGTTATCTATTAATATTTGTTGTGTGCAAAACTATCACGTGGAAAGTTCAATNTATATTGATGGCCACTGTTGGTATCGCTTATCTCATTGTTGTGTATGTATTCTTTTGGCAAACGGATCAAATTATCAATCGTGGTAATCATCATAATAAAAAACAAAGGGTTATGTGGCGAAGGTTGAAATATTTTCACATACGTTATACAAAAAATCTTCAACGAATTCAGACGGGTAATGTTTATTCGAAAGCGTTAATCATATTTTTATTGTTGAATATTCCATTCAATTGTTATCTATTAATATTTGTTTTGTGCAAAACTATCACATGGAAAATTCAATATCTTGCTGGTTCGATTATTGCCGAAGAGATTATCTGTATATTTGGAATACACTTGTTATTTGCTACAGCTAATCGACAATTTCAAAAATCAAGTTCCAGATTCATGTCCATATTGGCCGAACAGCATCAACATTTCAATAGTCACATTGATCTGGCTAATCGATTGAAAATAATTTACTATGGACAAAATTTTCATTCAAAAAATAAATATGGTTTTACATATGGAAAACTTGAACTAATTTCGATGAATGAATTTGTCAAAGTAAGACCATTTGATTTTGATTTAGATTACCATATTAATTAATTCAATATTTTCTATTCACAATTCAATTCTATAGTATTCTCTACTTTATTCACAAATATTAATGTATATCTATGTTCGTATTGTTTCAGGACGATTATCAAATCAACATTGATGTCAATATAATAAATTCTTATGAATGTTAACATGAAGAGATTGAAAACAATATATATCGATATTCCCCTTTTTTAATATTGTATACCCTCTTCTAAAGATTTATATATTTGATTATCTTTATCGTTCATCAGAACTATTATTATAATTTCCCAATCAAATCAAGTATTCAATTTTGGTATAGAATAAAAATGGGCGACTAAAATTCGGAAAAAAGTAGATTTTATTTGTTTGCACCTTCAATATCAATTCATTTTTCCTGCTACTTTGATCATTAATTGTATTCCTTTTTTAAAACAAATTTCAAAATTTAAATAGTAATGATTAAAATTATATTTTAGAAGAATAGATTACGAATGCAAAGGGAATTAAAAACACTTTCGAAAATCTGATAAAATACACGCATTCACAAAATTTTCTGAGTGTATTGCATTGTTTTCTATTAATTTTTATTTATTGTAATTAATTTCGTAGTTTTTTACGTAATTTTATTTTCCGGTTTCTAGATTTTTTTTCCTCGAATTCGTCAATTAATTTTTGTTGATTAAAGCAAATAAATTCTTAAAACATAAAATGAGCTTATTTTCCTTAGAAATCCTTAATTTTTACTCCAAATGTTTTTTAATGTCATGTTTATTATTGATTTTCATCTGACCAACAAAAAGAAAAAACGAGGATATGAATCAACAATTGAACCCGCTTGTAAAGGTGAAGATTATCTAAGTAAATTTATTAGCTTCTTCCACATTTTGGCATGGAAACCATTCTTGTTTCTTTAATAAATTTGTCATCTTTTTATGTTATGAATGAACAATCATCAAAATTAATCAATATTAATGTTTTTTTTCTTTTCAACAATGATCGTATAATCAACAATGAAGTCGATTTGATTAATTTTTATGAATTTACTTGTCACGATAAAAAAAACATTGAAAACAACATGGATCAATTTTCTTTTCATTTTTTTTGCAATGTTTTTTTTACAGTATTTTTTCTTGATTTTGTTTAATACTGGGGTTTGGATCGACTGTTAGCTAAATTTGTGTATACTATTTTGAGAAATAAAATAAAAATGCGAAAAAAAGTGATAATAATAACAATAATGAAATAAAAAATTTGATATCATAAATATTATAAATATTTAATATAATATAAATATTACGTAAATATTACGAATTTATTATTTGATTTAGTTTTTTTTCATTACCATCTCGGCTTCCATTCCAACAACAGCAAACACAATATAATCAATGATGAAAAAATTATTCATATTTCTATCTATTTTCTATGATAATCTATATTCAATTATATCTAATCTTTTTAGCGGTTTTATTCTGAATGATTTTATTAATGCTTCACGCATGATTTGGCCATTGTTAATGAATCATCCGCTTGCTTATTTTGAACATTATTTTATCTGTTATCGAATAGTTGGAATTCGTGAACAAAATCAAAAACAATTCCAACAAATTGTTCGTGATCCATTACGTATGATGTACATAATCATGGGTTTTTTTGCGTTACGTTTGATATATTTTACATATAGTACCAAATACTCAAATGATCAAACATGGATCATTTTGAATGGAAACATAATTCATCAGAATGGTCTGGACAATTATGCCAATCTATTTGTTGTATTATTGATAATTCAATCAATAATATATCTTAATATGCTTTATTATAATAATCCAAATGCTAATCTATTGGATCGTGTATTGATACGTAAACAAAAACGAGTATTTTTTCGACCTTATCATTATAGGAAATATTCGGCAGTCGATTTTGTTGAATTTACAATGAAAACATGGCTACATTTATTATATTATTTTATCATTTATGTTGGTAAGAAATCCACTGATAAAATAAATTATTTTATTCATATTTGTTTGAACAGATTTATGTATCCTTGCATCTTTTTGGTCTGCTTATCGATTTATTGTCCAGAATCGGAATGAATTCTTTAACCAAGGATTCTTTGGTTATTTACGAATTGTTCAAGTTTTTCTGAATCGGATATCGTTTTCTCTTTCTTTCATCATTTATGCACATGCCAATGCAATGATGGCTACAACAGCTATGGCATTCATGGTCATATTAACCGTATTATGCTGGCAAACCAGACAATTTCTATTACATAATGATAAAGGACAGTTATCCAACCATATTTGGCATACATTATCACGATTTCAAACTTGCCATACAAAAAATCTAAAACGTTTCGGTCTTGGCTCCATATATAGCCGAGCATTATTGATATTTTTGGCAATCAATATTCCATTTAATTGTTATCAATTAATATTTTTGACATACCGGACAGACAATTGGAAAATAAGATATTTTTGTGGTTCTATCTGGTTTCAGCAAGTAATTTGCATCTTTGGCATACATCTAATGTTTGCCATGTGTAACGATAGTTTTCAAAAGTCAAGCAAACGATTCATATCATTATTAGCAATCAATCATAGAAAATTTCACCAAATCGATTTTGGCCGACAATTAAAAATTACAAATTATGGAGAAAGTTTTCACACAAAAAATAAATATGGTCTCACTTATGGGAATGTTGAATTAGTTTCTATGATGGAATTTGTCAAGGTAACTGAAACATTGAAAAATAAAATTAAAAGTAAAAAAATAATGCTTTATTTTCTCCCCATTTCTATCTCATGATTATTCTAGTTTTCGTTGCTATATTCACAAGCATTGATGTTCATATATGCACGAATGATTGATCGTCGTTCATTGATTATCAATTAAAACATTCAGCAAAACTTTTCGCGTAATATATTGATTTATTTTGATTTTAAAAAACAAGTTTTAAAATCTAATTCAAATAATATTAGTTCTATTAAGTTTGCTATGTTACTTTTAACCTTTTTAAGTTCTGTTGTAATTAAATTAGTGTATTTCTAATAATTATTGCAATTAAAATAATAGTTTTTCACTTGAATCTTTTAGTACTGGTTGCCGGAATTTTTTCCTTGCACAATTGATCATTTGAAAAAATAAAGTCGTAAAACATTTAATAAACTCACCATTTTGTCGATTTATAAAATTTTGACTTGAGAACTTTTTAAACGTTACCGGAAGTTTTTTTAAATTTTATTATCGATTTTAATCAAAAAACAAAAACCAAGAAAAATAAATTAACGACAATACCCGAATGTAAAGGTGATTATTTTAAGAAAATTATTCCGTAACCTCTGAGAATATTGAGACTTGGTCCTAAACTATTTTTCCTTTAATAAAATCGTCACACCTTATGTGGTGCTTAGTGAATGAACAAAGTTTTTTATAATGGAATTCAAACGGAATCAATTTATAATTTTAAGCTAGACTCAATTTTGAAATCTTTTCATAAATATTCACTTTCATCAATAAGACTTTACGAATGTCAGTTTTATTGACGTTTCAATTCTTAATAACTTTGTTTTTCACCGAAATTCCCTCGAATTTTCATCAAATCGTTTTTGTCATTTTAGTTATATGAAAACAAATTTTTTTTTTGAATTCACTGGATCGTCGGATCATTCCTTTGATTGTTTGTTTATCAGATTGGTTTTATGAAGAATTTTTCACAAATACAAAAAAAAATTAAAAAATGTTTGAAAAATGTTTGAAAATTATCATTATGCATTTAAAACGATTAGTTCGAATAAAGAATAATCTGTCGGCAAACGTTAATGGTATTTTTAAACTTTTAAGGCCTTTATTTGTATATCATCCTGCAACATATCTTCAATATTATTTTAATTCATATCGATTAGCGGATAAAAATCCACAACAATTTCAAAGAAAAATTTATGGTCCAATTCAATTGATGAATTTATTGATGATTTGGTTAGCCCTACGTCATGCATATTTTGCTATACGTTGTTATCATATACACGATCCATTATGGGTAGTAATCAACAGCGATTTGATGGTTGAAAATGAATTCGATAATTGGGCTAATATATTCATTACTGCNAATATGGTCTCACTTATGGGAATGTTGAATTAGTTTCTATGATGGAATTTGTCAAGGTAACTGAAACATTGAAAAATAAAATTAAAAGTAAAAAAATAATGCTTTATTTTCTCCCCATTTCTATCTCATGATTATTCTAGTTTTCGTTATTATATTCACAGGCATTGATGTTCATCTATTCACGAATGATTGATCGTCGATCATTAAATGGAAAATAGAACATTCATCAAAACTTTTATTATTAGATAAATATTTGCATTCACTTAATAAATCGATTTATTTTTTTCCTGCTAATTTAATCGATCTCATTTTATCGGTAATTGTATACTTTTTTAAAAACAAATTTCAAAATTTAATTCAAATAATATTCCAGAATCATAGAATATGACATAGTAAACTCAAAAACACTTTCGATAAAATACATTCAAAAGAAAATTTTCTCAATTGTATTCAATTATTTTTTGTTAATGTTTTATTTATCATCAATTTCATTGCAATAAATTTTTCATTCATTGATTTTCATTTCTTTTTCGATTATAACCAATTTATAACAATGATAATACAATTGCAAATTCTTGAAAAATTTTACCATTGCACTTGTAATTTTTTTAGCTCATTGTTATTATTTCTATCAAATTTATGGATCTGTCTGGCCATACGTAACATTGATAATGTCATTAAAATGATATGGCCATTGATTTTGAATCGTCCAAAAAAATATATTGAAAACTATCTCATTTGTTATCGAATATATATGACAAAAAAACAAAATCATGAACTTTATTTTCAAAAAGTAAAGCTTCCAGTTCGTATAATGGAAACTCTATTCATTATAATGGCCATACGTTGCATATATTTTGTTAAACAAAGCCAATATAAAAATGATCAAACATGGATCATGTTAAATGGTAATATAATCCGTCAGAATGGTTTAGATAATTATGCCAATCTGTTTATATTCGCAATGATCATTCAAGCTCATCTTTTTTTAAGAATGCTTTATTATAATAATCCATGTGCCAATCTATTAGATCGTGTATTAATTGGTAAAAAGAAACAAGTATTTTTTCGACCATATCGTTATCGAACATATTTGGCCATCGATTTTGTAGAATTTGTAATAAAAATATGGCTTTATGCAATATATTATTTTGTCATTTATATTGGTAAGATGTACATTGATAAAATTAATGATTTTATGTATTTTTAAAAAAATACTCTTGTTTCAATATAGAATTATGTATGATTGGATTTTCTTTGACTGCTTATCAATTCATTGCTGAACATTCGAACGAATTTTTCAACCACGGATTGTTTGGTTATTTACTAATTGTTCAGATTATTATCAATCGGTTATTGTTTTCTGTTTGTTTCATTTTCTATGCTCATGTTAGCATAATGATGGCAACTACAGTTTTAGCATTCATTCTCATAATAGTCATTCAATGTTGGCAAACTAGACAATTTTTATTTAAAGTTTATAATTTTCGACAATCGTCAATCCATATTTATTGTACATTATCAAAATTTCAGAAATGTCACACAAAAAATCTCGAACGTTTCAATCTCAGAACCATATACAGTAAAGCATTATCGATTTTCTTGATATTCAATATACCTTTCAACTGTTATCTATTAATATTCTTAATTTTTCGTACAAACAATTGGATAATCAGATATTATTACGGATCAGTTTGTCTTCAGCAAATAATCTGTATGTTTGGCATACATCTGATGTTCGCTATGTGTAGCAATAGTTTTCAAAAAACAAGTAAACGATTCATATCATTGTTGGCCATTAATCGGAAAAAAATTCACCTAATCAGTATTGGTCAACAATTAAAAATTAACAATTATGGACAATGTTTTCATACAAAAAATAAATATGGTCTCACTTATGCCAGTAATCAATTGGTTTCAATGATGGGATTTGTCAAGGTAACTAAAACAATAAGTCAATAAAATTAAATTCCAAAAACTATTAATTTCATGATTGTTTTAGTATTTGTTACTTTATTCACAGGCATTCATGTTTATTTATACACAGATGATTGGGCCGATCAAATGAAATCCAAAAAATTAAAATTTGCATAAATAAATGATTTATTTTTGTTTTATTCTTTATAAAGAATATTCCATAGATTTTATGATAATAATAATAATTAAAAAATGTTGAGTAAAAACCGAAAGCATTCAATTCGAAATGGCGTATGTATGTTTGTGTGCTTCAAATTTGATGATTCATGAGATTTTATTATTTGTTCGAATCCGTTCGTGTCTTTATTGATTCTTGATTATAACAAACAGAAAAAAAGACTTTTATGATGAAGATGAGACAGGAACGCTAGAAATTGTCACCCAAATATATCCACGACCATGAAACATATTAATCGGTTTATTTATACTACCGTTTTTTATTAAATCACCGAAATTCAATAAAATACCACCAATATGATCATTACGAACATGATCTCTATCCATCAATTCGATACGTATCCATGTTTCACGTTTGACCGTAAATTGTCTTGGTAATAAATAATGCCAGCTAGGATTATTTGAATTATCAATAATGGGCGTTTTACCAACAAGTTCATTATCGATAAAAACATTACAATAAGTGTCGGATGCACGACCCATAAAATATCCTGAATCCATATCGGGTACGTTTGCCGAATGTATAATAATTGATATGTTATACAAATTATTATTTGATAATGTCATTGCTGGTGTTATTGTTGTCGATGTTGTTGATGTTTGGAATTGTATACGATTTGAATTTGTTGGACCACTATTGTTCATAATTTTTGGCAATAATTTTGTTGTGCTTGATGGCGATGATGAAAATGATGGTGGTATCGTTGTCCATGTTGATGTTCCTTGAGTCAATGTCGTCGATGACGATGAATGAATCAATGATGTATCGGGATTTTTTTCATTATCTGCTATAAATTCGGTCGGGTGTTCATCCATTCTGCTGTCATCATGATCAATATTTTGACCTAAAAAAATTTGGAAAATTTAATAGAAATTTAATAGAAATTAAAGATAAATTACTTGAAAAATCTGGTTCATTTTCTTGTGAAATTGATTCTAGGTGATTCGAATTCAATTTCGTCTTTTCAAATTCATTAATATCATTTTTTTCATTATGGCTTTTTGGTGGTAACGAATCGATCAAATCCTGATCCGGTTGTAATAATTTTGTTTCCATTACATTGATGTCCTGTTGATGTACATCACCGGTTGATGATAATGACGAATCGGGTGATGGATTCGATAGAATTGCCAATGCTTTTCCAGTTCGTCCCGAATACATTTTCAATGGCGTAACTTTATTCGAATCATTCATTGTTTTATCATCGATATAACGATTTGGCATAACCACACGAATCAACTGAACCATCAATAACAATGCAATCAAAACAATGAACAAACGAATGGCAATAACTTCGGGTCGTTGCCATTGTTTCCATTGACAAAAAACTTGACGAAATTTTTGTTCAACACCATTCCTAATCGAAAAGAAAAATTTATTTCGTTTGGTATCCATCATTTGATCATCATCATCAACTTGTTTATGAACATTCAATGTGACAGGATTGATGTGACCTTGAATTTTTAATTCAACATGATCAAATTCTGGATTTGAAAATACTTCGGCCATTGGATTTTCAATCGAAAGTGAATGTCTTAATTGCTGTTGTTGCTGTTTGAATGATGATTCAGAAGCCATTTTTGTTGTTTGATTTGATGTTTCGATTGGCGACAATGTTAATGTATTGGATGATTCTCGTTGAATTTCTTCATATGGTGGTGGTGGTTTCTGATGTTGATCCTCATTATTATCATGTTCAAGATAAGGATGATGATGGTCTTGTTCAGTAGTTGTTGTTGATTTTGTTGAATCCATCATGATTATGTTAATAATAATAATATTGTCCTATAATGTTTATTATCAAACATAAATAAAATAAAGCAAATAATCAATTTTAGATAAATCAATTAATTAAATTTGATAATCAAAAAAAAGAGAAATTTGAAACGAATAACAGTAAAAAAAATGATATCTTTGATGATAAATATTGATTGAATGAGAAAAAAAAACAGAAATTTTCTTTATCCGAATTGAAAAACAAACAAACAAATTGAATCAATTATGAATCATTGACTTTTATTGATTATTATCTGAATAGGATATATAATTTTATTTGGTCATTCTATTTCGTATTTCAAATGTTTGTTGAAGCAAAAATCTAAAAGCAAGCAAATCTGGATGAATCATCAATTATTGTCGATAAAATTAAGTTCAATCAAATCGAATCAAATATGAAGAAAAACAATTTTTTTTGTAATTGAATAAATGAATGATTGTAAAATGGATTTCCGTTCTTGATTTTGGCATGATAAACACACACACACAGAGACAAGTGAAGCACAAATATTAATGAAATCTGTATTTGAAAATATCATACCTTTGATTATATTTATGCAGAATTCCGTTGAATATTTAACATTTGTTTGTTGAGAAAATTTTCAACAAAATTCACCATAAAAACAACAACAAAAAAGTTTCAAGTTAGATCAGAAAATGACTGGATACTGGATTTTAAACACATGTGAATCACATTCACTATGATAACAGAAATAGATTTGTGGCAGAAATCCACAAAACATGAATAGAATAAAATAAAAATCCGAGGTTAAAGTTCAAATATCATTTGGGTGAGTCCACACTATGATGCTTGATTAGTGTTTTTTAAAAGTTTAAAAATCATTCATTCAAGGCAAACAAGTAGATTAAAATCGTATTGCTTTTTCTTCGAAAAAGTTGTTAAAGAATTTTTCCATATTAACCGGATGGACACACACACACACATTCGATTGATTTGATATATGATTTGAACACAATTCATTCGACGGTAACCGATTAATGATTATAACCAATGTTGTTGTCGTTGATTTAGTTGTTTGATTTTAACGGCAATTCCGAAATTCACCACTAAAGAAAAAAAAAGAAAATCCAATCAAACGGAACAGAAAGGAGTTCATTTAAAACATTGAAACAACAACAACAGAAAAGATTTTTATCTTCTTCAAGGTCAACTCTATCTATCTATCTATCTCTCTTTTTCAATTCAATAACTTTTCTTCCTGGGTTCGATAAATGAAAAAATTCCCAAAATAATAGAATTTTAAATTTGAGAGAAACTTGAAACAAACAAACGATAATTGAATTTAAAGATAACTCTTTTTTTGTATCATGGTTGATATGAAATTTGGATATGGACCAACGACGAATACACCAGCGATAGCGATACTATTGAACAATCAGTCGTTTTTTTGTTGTTTGTTTTGTTTCGGGTTTTAGTTGATGATGAAACTTGAATCTCTTTCCTATTTCAATGATGATGATGATGATGATGAGGAAATTGTTGATCGATAAAAAAAACCAGCAAAACCCGAAAAAAAAACAAAACAAACAACCAAACCGAAACAAAAACCAGAAAGAGAAATATTATTTCTATTTTCTTTATTACATCATCATTTCTTATATGGTTGTTTGTTTGAAAAATTGTTCATCATGATCGTTTGACCTCGTTTTATTTTATTTTTTTGTTGTTCGTCGTCGTCGTCAAACTTGGAACATCATCCACAACAACATTAACACACACACACACACACACATCAAAACCACCACCAAGACCGAATCGGAAAAAAAAACCAAACCCCAAAATGATCATCTGTTGTGTTAAAGGTCATAGAGAAAACATACCAATCGACCTCATAAATACATTGATATGGAATGATGATGATGATAAGAGAGAAAGAAAGAAAGATTTTTTTTTTGTTCTGCGGAAAAAAAAATCATTCAAGATTGTCGTAGTAGTGGTAAGATGGATCCATGTTAAAAAAGAAAAAACCAACTTAATCCAAATGGACGACCCTTCTCTCTTTGTTTTTGAAAAAAATTTCCAAATCCAATAGCATCCATAAGGAAATGATGCCACAAGGAAAGAAAATTTACGGTAAAATTTTTTTTATGGATTTTTTTCGTGTTTTGAATTTGGAATTTAAATTTTATTAATTTTTTTCAACAAAATAAAATAAAAAATTTGCTTTTTGATATCTTTTTTCTTGTTATTTTTTTTCTTCTTCCTACAAATAAAGTTGTGGGTCACAACAAATTCCGATTCGAATGAGAAAATGAATTCATGCTTGACATTGATCATCATCATCATGATCAGATGGATGATAAGTAGGTTATTACCGTCATGATGATGATGATGATGATGAAAAATCATGGCATATAATGTAAGAAAAGGAAAAGAAATCTATTCACCTGTATTTTAGCTTTTCCTATTTTATTTTACCTTTTTCAATCGATGTTTAATATCATTATTTTTTTTTATACCAAACATTGGTTTCTATACACAGAAGTCAATTTGATGATGTAGTAATACAACAAGATAAGCAAAAAAGCTTAATTATTGAGGACACAGTAATAATATAATACTGTAATATGAATGATGTTGATTTTATTATCAGAATCATTTTTTTCCTCTCAATATTTGATCGGTCAACAGGTTATAATTTTTTTTTTATAAATCGGATGAAGAGGGTCGATTGAAAAGTTTGCTTGAACAAAACAAAAATTCTAATCAACAGGTTGTTTCGACGATTGTATCGCCATCTAGCTATTGTTGATCAAAATTTTTTTCAAATTTTTTTTTTTAACCAAAAGAAAATCCATTATAATCCATAATCTTGATTGATCAAATCTTAATGATAAATTATTGTTTAATTGATTGATTGAAAAATGGGATAATTATGATTGAACATATTCGGCAATTGTTTTTGTGGTAATATTAGAAAAAAAGAAAATCTGACTGATTTATGTAAATTCACACTTTTTGAATAATTTTTTTTTTTAATTTGATTTGTTTGTTAAACACCTACAATGAATAAAAATAAACATGTTGCATTATGATTTTGAAATTTTCCATACAGACTTTTTTTCGCTTTTTCTGTTTTGTTGTCTTTCATTCCAAAATATATAGAAAAATGATGACTATTATAGACGACTGTATAGTCAACCTATGGACATCATTCAACCATATCATTCAATAATGTTGATGATAATCGTATCATTTTCATATTTTAATGAAAGGATTTTCGTTCGTTCATTATCATCATCAATATTATAATTATGATTGCTGTTCACAATAATTCATTCGGTCATGTTTGTTTGTTTGTTTTTTTCTTCTCATTTTCTTTTTGCATTCAATTTCTTTTTATTTTTTTTCTCTCTGTTCCGTTCATGTTTGTTCAGGATATTATGTGTGTTGACAATTACAACAACAACAACAACGACAACAACAATGAAAAACTTTCATTCAATCAAATGAATTTCAATACGCTGTGACATTGTTGAAACACTTGTTATCAGGTGAAACATGCACGTGTTTGTTTTTTGTTTGTTTGTTTGTTTGTTGTTGTTCACTTGGATACCATGAAAAAAAATTGATGGAAAATTTTAAAATATCAAAAAAAAAATTTACCTTAACAACCCAAAAACTATTCGAGATTGGACATTTTTTTTCTAAAAAAAGTAATGTGATTGATAACTGTGTGTGTGTGACCTGAATTATTTGGATTTTCCTTTTTTTTCCAAAAAAAATAACTATATTTCCGGTGATTGATTGAACCAAATTTTGGTTTTCTTTTTTTCGTGTTGTTGTTGTTGTTGTTTTTATTCAGAAAAATCAAATTTAAAATCATCATCATGGTGATGTAGAAACAAAACAAAAACAAAAAAAAATCCAAAATATCTATCCCCAGATACATCTAGTTTTTTTTTGAAAATCAGATTATCCAGTCATCATTAAATCAAAAAAAAAAAAAACAGATGAAAACAGCAAAAAGAAAAGAATTTTTTAAACGACCATAAATCCTGTCTACAAACGATGATGAAATGTTTGTGATAAAAAGAAAACTCGTTCAATTTGACTAAATCATATTTATCTTCGAATGATAAAATGACAACAAAAAAAGCAAACATTTTTTTTCTCTGTCTATTTATTCTACGATGATTAATTGATAATCAATCGCAAAGATATATGATATGATTATCGATTTGTTGTTGTTGTTGTTTAGATTTGTGGTCTGCAAAGAAAAAAAAATTCAAGTTCAACTTTTCTTTCTTCTCAGTTTATGCTTGAATATCATCGTTTCAAAAAACAACAGCAAAATTTTCCAAATGTTTAATCAACTTCCGTTTCTGTGAATTTTTTTCACTCTCTCCCTCCAGCATACCTTGTTTGGAATTCAAAACAAAACAAATCTAATGATTGTAAAGTCAAATGGAAGATAATAACCAATAATTTGATCGAATGAAAAAAAACCACAAACAAAAACAATATTTATTTCTGGAACGTTTCAGAAGAAGAAGAAAAAAACCGTAAACATTTTTCAAACTTGTTCTTCAACATTGATTAGTTACCAAACTAAAAAAAAAAATAACCAATCAATCAATCGAATCCAGATTGCAAAGAAAAAAAAATCATCACAAGAGAAAAAAATTCCAAAATTGTTATTTGAAATTGTGTGTTTTCTGAGAAGTTTCTCCTTGTAATTCATTCATTGATGATCATCATCATCATTTACGACTCTACATTTTGATTTTCAAATGTTTTTTTTTGGTTGTTTTGTAATTTCTCTTTCCTTTCACAATGATGATCGTGTTTTGATAGATTTTTTTTTCACTATTCATTTCAGTCAAAAAAAACCAAAACCAAAAACCAAAACAACAAATAACAAAACTATTGATAACAGGCAAAAAAAAGTAAAAGTTATTTTTGAAAGTGATTTATTTTTCGCTTTTTTTTAAAGAAGCATTTTGATTTTCTTTTGCCAATCATCAACCAAAAATATCAAAGTGAAAACGAAATTTTCTGTTAAGGAAATAACAAAAAAATGCCTAACCATTCAACAATATTATTATTGTTGATTATAATCAGTATAATCATTACACATGGATATTGTTGGTCATTTTCATTTTTTCGACCATTTTCATTTTTTCCATCATTATCATCATGGACATCGACATCTGAATCAACGGATATTTCATCATCACCATCATCATCATCATCATCAATGACAACAATCCCATCTTCATCGTTGATGACAACAACAACAACAACTATAGCAACAACGACAACAACAACAACAACAACGACAACCGAAATTCCTAAACTTATGAATAATATTATCAATGTTATTAAACAACCTAATAGCTGGTATTATCAAATATTTTCAAATTCTACAAGATTAGATAACAATTCTAATCAACAAAAATCAATGAATAATATTAGCAATGATGATAATGACGATTCAATTTCCAATAATACATTGAAAAATATCCTTGATATTCAATTTGATTCAATGTTAGTTTGTAGAATTAGTTAATTTTTCACCTTGTTTAAATTTAAAATTAATAGATAATTTTTCTTTTTCTTTTTTTGTTGTTTGTTGTTCGCTATCGTTATTATTATTAGAAATAATTTAAATGAATCATCATCACAATTATCATATGAATATATGGATTTATTTCATCAACAACAACAACCAAATGATATTCAAACTCAGAATTCAGAATCAAGAAAACCATTTGAAGCTTTAATACAAAATGATAAAACAATGGCTGATATTGTTTTTGATCATACTGGTCGTCATCTTATTTATTGTGAATTATTTGATCTAGAACGTGAACCATTACCAATAAGATTACCAATGGTTATTGCTAATCGTCGTCCATTATTAGTTAGTCATAAAACAATGTTAGAAGCAGTACAAAGATGTACACAATTAGCATTAATACAACATCAAGATGTATTTATTAAAAATTCTAATCAAACATTAACAGCAACAATGACATTGATTGATCCAACAAATATCGATAATAATTCGACAACAATGGCAAGAATTCCATCAAATAATTCAACTACAAATCTGTCTGCTCCAGCACTAGAAATGAATTTTCAAAATTATTGGACATTTTGGAAAGGTATTCTACCCGGTACAAAGGTAAATAATGTATACTTATTTTGATCAAGAATTGTTTTATTCTGTTACATTCATCCCGATAGTGGTGTGGTCTAGGTGATTTGTCCAGTCATTATGAAGATCTTGGTAGTAAATTAGACATTGATCTTTGTTGCCGTGCACATGATCATTGTCCAATTCGTTTAAAAGCATTTCGTCAAGGATATGGTGTATTTAATTTTTCATTCTATAGTCGATTACATTGTGAATGTGATGAAGATTTTTATAATTGTTTAAAAAAATCACCAAATTCATATGCAACAATGTTGGGACAATTTTATTTTAATGTTTTACGTGTTCAATGTCTTAAAGAAGATGGGAATCAAACATCGGAAATTTCCGAAACTACATCCACGCCACAGATTGTTTGTCGCAAACGAAGGTAAAGATATGGATTTTTTTCAATTAAAATTTTTAATTTTTTTTGTTCAAATGAAAACCATAGATTAACCAAAATGGGAACAAATGAATGTTTGGAATATGGTGTCATACCGGATTCAGGAGTTAATCAACGTATTAAAATTATACCATTCGGACGTTATTTTTGATTATTATTATCATTTTTTTTTATTTCCAAAACATTTGTTATCTATCTGTTAATTATTGTTATATTTCCAAAACACAACTAGTGATTCTCGACATATATTGTTTGTTCATTATCAATAAATTATGAATAAATTATGAAAAAGATAAATTCAATTAGATAATTTTTTTGGTTTATAATTTGAAAATCGTCTCTTACCTCAATAGTTGATAGATGGCATTACAATCGACAATGATAACTTGTTGATATTTTATCTAACATCAATATTGATATCTTTGTGGATTGTGACATATTCAAAAATCAATATCAATCAAATGTCAAAGTAAGTCATGGTTATTATTATTATTACCAATTATAGACCACAATGATTAAAACAATTGATAATAATCATTATAATGATCCTGTATAGATGATGGTTTTTTCATTTGATTGTTTATTTAGTAGTGTTTTTCATTTTAAATGTTATGAGATGGTATTTATCAAAATTCAGTTCAAGTACATTATCATTTATTGAATTGAATGAAAATGATGTCTGTTTTGGTGGTTTTGGAACACAGTCATTATTTGTAGATATTTTGAGCAATCATCAATTAAATTATAAAATTAGAAAGTGGTAAAAAATGACGAAAATAAACGAAAACAATAATTGTTCAATACTAATAATATATATCGCGCAATAATTATCGATTATTTCTTATTACAGACATTTGGTCATTACTTATTTGGAATATATCATCATCAACATCCTTATCTCGAAAATCATAATGATTGAAACAATTGATTTGATTGAATATTTGTTTTGTGTTGTGTATACGCAATTTCGACCACAGCATAACGAAACGTTATAATGATGAAAACATATGATCATTGAATTTTGTTGTTGTTGTTGAAAGATATTCATCCGTTCAATTAATTATTAATTGCCATATTGTTTTTGATGATGAAATTTGTACGCACAGATTATCATTATATCTAATTAATGTCGAGGTGCATAATGCGATGCTGAATGAATTTTAATTCATTTATGATTGAAGGGGAACAAGTATAAAATCCGAATTAATGATGGCTATTTTTTCAATTTTTTTTTGTTGTTCATTCAAGGATTTTGGATCAAAAAAAAAAAATTCCTAAAAAACTAAACATTCGAAAAAAAATCGAATCATAATACGATTCCGTTCGAAATGAACATGCGTATTGAATGAGTTGGTTGCTTTTTCCTGTATTCAGGATGAAATAATCACGCAAAAGGCTCATCACTCAAATAAAAATTCGAATGTTATTGTTTTCAAGTCCAACAACAACATATCATCATGAGGCCCAAAGAATTTTCATTATCACGCTATATCAAAACGCATTGTAATTGTCATTAAAATCAGAATTTCCTGTGTGAATTTTTTGTTTTAATTGTCAATTTGTGCATTGATGATGAAATCCAAGATAATACTGATGAATTATAATTTTGTTTCTCCATCATCCACTTATCCAATCTCTTCACCTTTTTTTTTGTTGTTGATTGATTGACAAATTATGTGTTGACCAAATTTCATAAATGGACAATTATTGTATGAAACTTGAAGAAAATTATATTAAAAAAATAATAATTTCATCACACGTAGGTGTTTTTGTTGTTGGTTAGTTTCATCTTCATTTCTTGAATTAAAAAAAAAGATTTTATTGATTAATTTTTTTCTATTTGATCAATCAGGATGTGTCTATATTTGTTGTTTTGTTTTCATTTCCATATTTCAATTTGAATTATTTCCATTAAAAAAAATTTTTGACATGTCAAAAAAACTGAATCGAAAATTCATGTCAACATCGAAAAAAAATGAAAAGTGAGAAAGAGAACGATAAATTCAAATGGAACATGTTATGTAATTCACACGTGTTTACACACGCACACATTTTTCTCTGAATATATATAGAACAACGACAACAACACGTGCAAAACACACACTTTCAACGATATGACGCCATCTTTTCTTTCCTTTTTTTTCATTGTCAATCAATCAAATTATTCAATATGCAAGAAAAAAAAGAAAGATAAAGATAATGAAATGATACAACATCGACCGGTCGTTCATTTATCGAATCAATAAATCAGACAAACAGACTAATAAAACAAACAAACATCATTATTGCTATTTCAATCGTCAATGACATTCAATACCGATGATTGATTTTATTAAATTGAAAAAAAAACAAAAATTAAAAAATTAAAATTCAAAAAATATGATATAATCATTTATCATGAATCAAATGATTATTCAATTTATTTACTTTTCCTTCCTTATACTCTTCATAATAATCAATTTGTTTAGCTTAATGATGATTGTATACAAAATGAAGAAGAAACAAAAAACAAAAATTACATTTGAAATTTGTCAAAATAATCAATTAAAACAAAAAAAAACACAACTCTAATAGATTACAACATTGTCATACTAAAAAAAATTACAAAATCGATCATCAGATCCTTTGAATAATGAGGAAAAACAAAATTCTGAACATAAAATCCAATGTGAAGCATCATCATTATTGTGATACAAGATAAACCCAAAATAATAGTGTGTATAAAAACAGTAAATAGTCCTTAACCTTTTATTTTTATGAATGATTTCTACATATCAGATCTTTTTAGCGATGTTAAAAGGTCGAAATTTTAGTTGTTGTTGTTGTTCGATATAGCCATTGCTTGTTTTTTTACAGAAATAAACATATAAACAAACAAATACAAACATACAAATTATTTTTACATAGCAAAAGTCATTCAATCTAATAATAATATCCAACCAGGTTATCTCATCGTTACAAACAGATTTTTTTCCAAAAAATAAAAATAAAAAATCGATTTCATCACAACAATGACTATTGAATTGTAGCAATATTTACAAAACAAAATTCGAATTGAATAACGTGTAAGACATTCATATAACTATTTTTCTTTTCTTTTTTCTTTTTTTTCGTTTGCACCAGGTAATCCAAGATAAATTTGTTGACCTGATTTCTGTGAAAATCGAAAATTACCTTGAAAATTTTTTTTTCTTCAAATGTTCAATGTTTTCAATGAATAAATCTACTTACTTTTATGTCATTTAATCATTGGTTTATTTTGGATTTCTGTAGAAATAGAAAAGAAAACTTTTAATTAAAAAATTTTCCATTGATAAAATAATTCTTCCGGTCAATGTTTTACTTTGACCACGACCTTTTTTTATTGTATTGTTTGGCTTGATTCTTTGATTTCACATTGAAAAATATCTTTTATTATTTGTTTCTCATGCAAATCATTGTCCATTTTTATTATTTTTTCAAATTGAAAATTGATAATAATAATAATCATCATTTTTCAAGATTGTAATATCTAATCAATGTGAAACATTGTGAATAGATGAATGAAACAAATCATTACCAGCAAGACAAAGTTGATTGATTTTCCGTACTTTGGGCCAATCATCATCATTATTATTTCTTTCATGGCTGAATCAATCAAAACAAAACAAAAAAAAATCAACAATTCCAATTGTTATGGTTGTTGTCCAATAACAATGCCGGTATAATGATTCAATAGTAAAGAAAAAAGTATTGAAGGATGATTTTATTTCAAGAAGAAAAAAAATGAATCTAAAATTATCGATTAGATTCGAAAACGAATTGAAATTCAAAAAAATAAATTCTATAAATTGAAGCCATGGTCATTATCGATATTGTTCAAAAAGGTTTTTTGTTTTTTTACTTTAATTGCTCGCATTATGTTTGTTTATTATGTTCCTTGAATTTATTTCAAATAATTAGCAATTTATTAATGAGTGAGCGTATTTTGTTTGTAACAGGAAATATTGTTTACAACTTTTTTTTTGTTTCGAAAAAAAATCATGAAACAGAAAGGACATTGGAATTTTGTTTTTGTTGTTGTTGTTTTTTTTCTTGGATCGTAATGATTCATTCAATCAATACAAACAATTTCAACGGTTGATATTAATGATCAATCAGTTTTATATGTAGGATTTGTGTGTGGATTTCATTGACATCGTCATCATCATCGTCATCATCTTTATTATCACAAATTAAACTTGTGTGCGTGTGTGTGTCGTTTGTGAAAATAAAAGGGACTAGGCATTAATGGCCTTTCTTAATTTTAGTTTTTCATTTTTCCTTCTCAAGTAAAAAAAAACGAAACAAAAATCTATTTTCAGATATTATTCGAATAATAACTTTGATACTAACTTTGTTTCAATTCTTTTTCTCTCTTTTTTTCCCACTATCATTTTGGCTTGGTTTCATTCATTCATTCTCTTTGCTGGGAAAGAAAAATCTCTTTGGAACATAAGATTTGTTGTTTTTTTTCCTTTTTAAAATATTAAATCTGATTTCATCTTGTTGTTGTTGTCATGGATCGATTCATTTATTTGTTTGTGTTTGATTCGAAAACATCTTATCATCATTAATGTAAACAATTGATAATAATGATGTTGGTCAAACAGACAAACAAGCAAAACATCGGACATAAATTGTTTGACGTAAATCGGATAATCATGTTTGTTAATTGAAAATTTTTGTTTTTGTTATTGTTTTTTTGTTTGTTTGTTTGTTTCAATATTTTTGTTTTCGTAATAAAACCTCTATCATCATTATCAACAAATCTTTTGTTTTCGCTTTTATGCATAAGCAAAAGTTCCTCAATTAAAGTTTATTGATATTCTGGTCAAATCAATAAAAATAAAATATCAAACTGATGATGGCAGTTAACGAAAAATTTGCTGGAATTTCCACCATTCATTCATGAACAACAATCATTTTTCTATGAAAGATTAATTTAATGAAAAATCTGTACTTGCCTATGAAATTACGTGATTCGTTCATTTTTTTTAAAGTTAATAATGATACATTACATAACCGATCACTATAATCATTTAATTTGTTTTTTTTCAAAATTGAAATTCAAATGCAATCAAATTGAAAATGAAATTTAATAAAACCAGAATTGATTATCAACATTCAACAAGTTTTTTTTTGATCGTTAAAATGTGACCGGTTCTTCAACATGTGGATAAAGAACTGGTAGTTTATCTTCTTCTTTTTTTCTTAAGAAAAACCAATAAATACAATGACTAAAAAAATACATTTGCATCTTATCAATTTTCTATATGAATGATTGCCATATGATTAGCGATCGATACTTGATCGTAACTAATGTGAAAAAAAACTTTTACTTAGATGTTATCACTCTTTGTGGAATAAAATTATCAAAAAACTTATCTCAATATTTCAGCGAAAAACATAACAATTTTATATAATTCGTTTGCTACGTGACTAACAACACAGATTTTATTTTTGCTTTGAAAAATTTAAATTTTTTCAAGAAAAAAAAACATTTATCTAGCTGTGAATAACGAACGGCTAAGATTAAGAAAAAAAAAATGCGGAAATTAACCAAATCAATTGATCAAACAAATCTATCATCAAATGATGACCATAATTTGACCAAATTATCACCATTAACTATACATCAAGACATTAATTCAACGACATTAATAATGGCATGCTCATCATATCAACAACAAAAGCCAGGAACAATATCTAAAACATTATATCAAGTAAATCCATTGTCATATAATGATAATAGTCAAATCGATTATTATCAATATTATGATCATAATCATCGATACCACAATTCAAAACGATCATCATTATTATTATCATCATTGTCAAAATTAAACAATAAATTTCATAAATATCATTCAAATACATTAAATATTCATAAATATATGCCAATGTTGATGATTAAATTGATGATTATTATATTGTTTTTATCATTGAAAATTCATTGCTTCAATATTGATGGCGAAGAACAACAAATGTCAACAGCGACTACAACGACAATAATTAAACAATCCTCATCAATGATTGTTGATAATAAAAAACCATTCAATGATAATGATGATGGTGATGATGATGATGAAGATTTAGATGAATCAATGGCTCATAGTAAGTGATAATTAATTCTATTTTTGTTTGTTTTTTTAGAATTTCACATATTTCTCATTAATTCATGTACATTGGACCTTTAGATTATTCATCATCACAAAGATCAACAATGGAATCATCAATGATGACAAGGTCATCATCATCATCAAAAGGATCAACCGTTTTAAATTTGCCAAAAATAACATCAACAAAAACTGAAAAACAATTTATGAAAACAGAAACAATAATCGATGAAAACGATGATGATGATGATGAAAAGAAGAGTGCAAATGAAGAAAATGATGATGAGGAGGAGGATGAGGATTCTGGTCAAGATCAAGATGCTAATGCATCGATCGTAATTGTTCCGTTAAAATCGGATGTCAAATTAACAACAACAACCACTACAACAACCGAAATACCAATGACAACGACAAGATCGATTGATACGATGTCGACAACAAAAACTTTAAATAAAAAGAAAAAGAAATTAAACACTAACAGTGTCAACAACAGGAATAATTCAAGAACAAATTCAAGTCATCAACATCGAAAGAAATCTAAAAGTAGAACAAGAACTACAACAACAACAACGATGAAACCATCATTGGAAATAATGGAAATGAACAGCAGCAATGATGATTTGATTTCAAATCGAACCTGTCTTATTGGTGATGTTTGTGGCCAAAAACAAATGGGTTATTGTTATCGGCCACATGAACCAAAATATTTTGATCTAAGCGATATTGACACGGAAAATTTCTACGATCTATTATTGACTAGTTGTCCACATTTTTTCGATGAAGAAGGTATGCAAATCATTAATATATTACGCGTATACACGAAAAATACTTGTGAGGATAAAAAAAAATTCAGAGATCAGATGATGATTATTAGTAATAAATCAAGGACAAATCTGCTAACAAGTTGACAACAATGAAAACAAAATTTTTGATTTGATTGTCACAATAAGATTATCATTATTATTGTTATTCAAATACAGGTCAAAATGATCGATTTCATTCGTTAACTTTTTTTTCAACATAGATAGACAATCGTATCAATATTAACGACAATAACAATAAAAATATTATTCAATGTCAATTAGTCCGTAATCATTTATCATTGATTTATTTGGATGATTGGTCAACGTTGACCCATAGCTTGATTATAATGTTAGAACTTTAACTTTTTTTTATAGAAAAACAATTTAATTAAGAGTTTGTTTTCAAATTGATATTTAATTTTTGTTTATATGTTTGATGAAAATCTATACTTTTTTATTTTATTTTTTTTTTGTTCAAATAGAAAATCTACGACATCCATTATGTTGTACAGTAGAAATGGAAGATACAATGGCCAAATTGATTATGAGTGTTGATCTCATTCAACGTTCATGTCCATCATGTTTGACGAATGTAAAGAAATTATTCTGTAATCTTTTCTGTGCACCAAATCAACGAGATTTTGTTAAAGTTAATCATTTAAAAGGTGAAATGGTATTAGAGGTATCTTATGTATTATCGGAATTGTTTGCTGAAAAATTTTATCAATCATGTCATGATGTACAAGTATTTGGCGCCTATCTAATGGATTTTGATTCAGCATGTGGAAATTTGACACGTAAACGTTGTACAGCTAAAGATTTTCTTGAACATTTAGGTTCATTACAAGAGATTCCGTTTCGATTCCGTCCGATTATTATTTCGGATAATGATCCAAATTCAAGTTTGATGGCAACAAAAAAAGGACCAGAAGATTGGCCACGATATATAATGAATGAAACAGCATATGCATGTGATGAGGCACCACCTGGTCTATCCACTTGTCGTTGTGATCATTGTGCCAATATGTGCCTTTATGGCCAATATAATCCACATTCAAAGAATAAACAACAATCATCAATGGATCTCGAACAAGATGATAATGTACAGCAGCCAAATCGTATCGGTAGACAAACAATGGATCGTTCCTCAAAATCTATGGCAATGGCCAACAGCAATAATCGTAATCGATATTCATCGATTGCCAATTCATCATTGATGATGCCAAAATGTCATTTATCATTATTACTTTTATTATATTTGGTATTTATTCTATTATAACTTTAATATATTAGATAAACACCTTGTTTTAAAATAAATTAATCATTCATTCATTACTTCATCGATAATAAAATGAAAACTTGACATTTAACAAAATTATCCGCTAAATCTAGTGAATCAATTTTTTGCATACATAATTAACATCCATTAATTCACTTTATCCTTTTATTTATTTAAAACATTCCAAGTTCAAGATTAACTATAGGATAATAGAGGTAGACAAATTGAATGAATTTTTCCTTTTATCAAATCGATTTCATTGAATTCAACATATGATGATTGTTGTTTTCCCGCCAATAATTTATGAATTTGGGATATACAAAATTATTTTCATCGACAGTGTTGCCATCTCATGATTGGATGTCACATAAACCATTTCTGCTTTTATGTATGGAATTACTTAATGTATGTATTTGATCCATTGTGTTCCGGTATTGTTGACGATAAGTGTCTATGGATTGATTCATTTGAACAATCTTGGTTTGTAAATCATTTGTACGTACACGATAACGAAAATATTGATCCAAATTATCAGCATTTGCTGATAATTCTTGGTGATGTTTTTGATAATAATGTTTTAGTTTTTGTTTCAATGAGAAACAATCAATGATAAGTTGCCTACAAAACAAAAACAAAAATATTTATTGTTATTATGGAGAAACAATATGGAATATTTTGCAAATGTACTTACTGAAGACATTTTTCATTTAATTGACGATGTTTATGTTGTAATTTTGATTTCATTTTTAAATGTTCAATTGTTTCAACATATGGATCATTGATCATTTTTTCATTAAGATCGCCATCATCAATTAATGATTTATTCGAACGTAATGAACAATTTCGATAATTCTTATGATTAGTTTGCGAATTTCGGTTACGAAATTTAAATAAATTCCTCAATACATTCAATGAATCGGTCGATTGAGTGATATTTCTGTTTGAAACATCATCATTATTATCACCATCATCATTATTTAAGATTGAATTTTGTTTCGATTTTTTATTGATTTTTTTGGCCACATTTTTCTTAAAATCTAAAGATGATTTGGATGACGAATTTCGTTTACTATTAGCAAGCATTTGAGTTTGTTGTTCAATTTCTAACATATTAACAATTATAAGCTGTGTCATATACAATTCGGATGAAATATCTGATATTTCCATTTCATATCGTTCAATTTTTTGTTGACATAATTCAAGATTGAATAGTAATTGAAAATATTCATTTAATACTGGAATTTTACTTATTTCTAATGATAAAGGGGGAAAAGAGGAAAATATTCAATGAAAAATGGATAATGTAATAAGTTCTTTTCAATTACCATTAATTTGATCAAATTCATTTTGAAGCTTTTCGATGAGCGAAGATTTTTTCTTAGAACATTCATTAACCATTGTACCATAATGATTAAGTTCATTAAGAAGATTATGTATAGTTTGAGTTGAAGACATATTTTCCACTAATGCCAAACGATCCAATTCATTTGCGGATGATTTGTTTACAACATTCATTGTTTTAAATTTTAATTTGGTCATTTTCAATTTAATTTGACTATAAAATGAACCCATTTTTTCATATGTAAATCAAAATTATCGATAGTATATTTTTTTCAATATACAACAAACTTACCAATTAATTCGATGAAATTCGAATTTGAAAAAAAAAGTTTTCACAAATTAAAATTTCGATATTCGAATTTATTGTTGTCCGACCGATCAGTTGTGTGACAAAAAAAAACATTGGATTTATATAGTTAGTGGAAAAATGGTTAATTTTTTATATCAATCTTCAAGATTTATTCATTGAAAATGATGCTAATCAATTTTCATGGATGAATTTGTCATACAAACACAATTGGAATACAATAAAAAACAATAACATTCAATAACGATTCGTTACTGATGTTGGTCACAGTAAATTTAGATTTGTAAATAAAAAAAAATTCGGTTAACTAATTAAATGATTGATTGTCGATTTTAATTCAATAACAAAACATAATTAATTGGTACTGACGTCATTAACTGGAACCAAAAAAATAATCAAATTTATTTTTGTTACGGGATTCATCATATTGATTGATGATGACGATGATTATTTACGTCAATTTTCGAATCTACGTCGTCCAGGTATTTTTGTTTTCGACCTATTGTTGTTGTTGATAAATTTTATTTAAACAAAAAGCTGTAGGATTTGTTCATAAACAAGCAGAAAAAAGCAAAATTAAAAGAAAAAAACGTTTTTATTTCCGGATGATAGTCTGATTGAAAATCGATGATAAAACAAAAAAGGGTCAATCAAACAAACAAATGAAACACAATAGAAAGCGGAATGCGGGCATTTAATTTTTGATTAAGGAATTTCTATTTTTAAATTTCTAAATATTTGGATTTTAAGAAGTAAAAAAATGTTCAAATGAAATGAAATATGTTTGTTGCGGATGATAGAAGGCCAGTATAAAATTCAAACGATACTATCGATGTCCAATGAAAGAAAAAAACGTAAGATATTTGGAAATATATTCGCAAATGAATTCAAAAAACAAGGGAAAAAATTGGATCACAATATTTATTATTATTATTGAATTTCATTTTCAATTTAAAATGATATGATTTTTGTTTATATTGTTTTTTGTTTTGTATATTTTACAAAGAATCAAATAATATTATATGGCATAGGATCATGAATGAAATTTTTGAATTAAAAATGTTTGTGTGGGTGTGTGTCTGCAGATATTTTTTCGATAAGAATACACAATAATTACGATAAGATAAATTCAATAATAATAATAATAATCAATATCAAATAATCAACGATTAATTACAAGTTTTTTTTTGTTTTATCAAAATAATTATATATTCACAATAAATAGATTGTATATTTATATAATGATTGAATAGTATTTCAAATGATGAAATAGAATGAAAAATATTGAATGATAATAAGTGGGTGAGTTTTTTTCAAAGAAAATGCAAACTATAACAAACAGTAATCAATGAAATAGCATCACAATTAAATTCAATATGATTAATTGAAAATTATTTTAAGTAAAAGTTAGATAAAGTGCGTTTTGGTGGGCATAGAAATTTATTTCTATATGGGCGTTATGATAAAGAGATAGATATAGCTAGAATGAGAGAATCGAAGAAACCAGGAACGTTACAAATGGAATAAAATTTTGTTTTTATTGAATATGCTTGATTTATCATTGGAAAAGATTTTAAGTGAAATGCCAAAAATAGGATTGAAATTTTCATTCATTTCTAATATCTTTTTTTTCAAAATTGACCGGGATAAAATTGTTTCTTCATAAATCTAAATTAAATTGAGATATTATACATCAAGATTTTTGGGCAAACTTGTCGTAATAAATGGTTCACTCCACATTCGTCGTAAATCTCCCTGTGTGAAAAAAAAAGAAAATTCAAACTTCATGAGAAAAAAAGTAAATATCTTGATAATTACTTTTAGATAGGCCATTGTTAGTAATGGTAATAGTGTGAATGGTACAAGATATAATAAAGCTGGTTGAGCTGCCTTGAAAACTTCTGATGATACAGTCGCCGTTAACAAACCTATTCGACAATGAATTGATTAATAATCAAATACAAAAAAAAATTCTTAAAAAATACCGAAAAAATAGCCAATCAATGAACAATGAAAATATGTAAAACGATTCAAATGTTTTGGCGGTGGTACACCGGCATCAGCTGAATTTAATAATGTGCGTTTATATGCATCATAACGTAATACAAAACAAAGTAATAAACCGGGCATAACAATATCACCAAGACCAAGCATAGAAAAATGTCCACTATTCTGTAATGATGGAAATATTAGCTTTCCAGGTAACGATAATTTTGGTACATCTCTTCCGCTGTTCAAATGAAACCGTTTCGAAACAAAATTAACAGGATTTTCGGCTGTTTTTGTTGCAACTCGAACCTTTTATCATAATGAAGAGAATATTAACAAATTGAAAAATAACTTTAAAAAAATCTTACCATAACATTTGAACTGAATATATATGATGAGAAAAATACCCAAAATACATCGTAGATGAGCAAACCGGTCAATAATAATGTTGACACTTTTAGGCTAGGTAAACGAACAAATGCAATGAATGCAACACAAAGACCCATACCCATTGCATCCATAAGTAACCAATGGCCAGTTAAAACCCAGATACAAACAATCGTAACTGATAATGAAAATGAGACTAGTTCAGCCGGTGTAAAACGGCCACACATTCCTAACGAGATCCTGAATAATTTGAATAGAAAAGAATACAATCAATTTAATCATGTAATATAGCAATTTATTGTAAATTATTACTTTTTCTTTTCCGTACAAGGTTTCATTATATATTGACACATTGGCAATAATAGAAATGCTAATGCGATGGCTGCAATGACTATCAATATAATTAAAATCGGATAGATAAAATGAAAAGAATCAATTAATAATGATAAATAGAATTTTATTATTGATACTTACTTGCCGTACAAATTGCAAATAACATTTGCATTGAATCAAAAAAGAAAAACATCACTAATAATGAAATGGATGCTCCCAATGGAAGACATAATGCTTGCATTGTATCCAATGTTTGAACATCTTGAAAATTGAAAAGAAAAAAAATAGATTTCATAAGAATAATGAAAATTTATTTACATGAATAAAATGCTCACTGTTATTATCACCCGATGACGATGATGATGGTAATAAACCATCTTTTTCTTTCTCCTTTTCTTTTTGTTTAGCTTCCTGTTCCATATTTAATGATCGAAAACTACCATAAACAATCAATAACATTGGTATTAAAAATGTTGATACACGTGATGAATCCATTAATGTATACATCCTAATTGAACAATATTTTAATCAAAAAATTGAAAATTAATTCAAAAAAAAACAAACCATTGATTTGATTGAAATTCGGTAGCCGAAATATTTGGATCAACATTGCTGATGTGTGGATGAGTTTGATGATGATGAATATTTGGATGATGATGATGATGATGGTGACCGCTAACACCGGTTATACCGACATCATCATAATGATGATGTTGTGATAAATGATGATTAGCATGTGGATGATTATTATTTACAAATGTTTGTATCGTATTTATTGTTGATGATGCTAATCTATGAATATGCGACATGATTGATATTTAGGTATATTTTCGTAATTTTTAATTATTATATGCTCTGAATCTGTTGATCAATTCGTTGAAATGATCAATTTAAATGGCTAAATTCGGTGCTGTTTTTATTTTGCAGGATTAAAATGCGCAACACAAAAATTTATTGAAAGTTGAATCACTTTTCCCAATCTATCGTGTTCAATCAAAATTCCATTCGATTATTATATATAGTTCAATCAAAGTTATTTCGTATCCATGCTACTGATTGGATTGCTGAGAGAATATATGATTATGTGGGTGGCGTATGTGAATTGTATGTGTGTTATAATATCAGATTTCATCGGCCATCAACATCATTATTATGATGGGCGTCAACAACGATTATGATGGTGATGATGATGTAAGTGAGATATCCGTATTCACATTATCACAAGTCAACAATAATGGTGACTAGGAAAAAAAAGAAAAGAAAAAAACACTGATTGTAATTTGCTGATATTGTTGAAATGACCGAAACGTTTATTTAGGCGAAAATATCAAGTGACCGACGATTAAAAAACAAACAAATTATTAACAACAACAATATGAAAAAAAACGAAATAACATTCAAAATTTGATAAATATCAAATGGCCACCATCATCGACCAGAAAAAATCACATCGGAAATTTGATGATTATCTTTTTTATATTCGATATACTAAACTAAACAAAACAAGATTTTTTTCTCGAGAAAAAAACAATCATTATTACTATTGTGTTTTTTTTTTGTCGATTATGATCGCATATTTGAGAAAAAAACTGTAAAAACAACAAAAATTTTAAACTATCGATATCAAATCATGAAAAAGAAATGAAACAATAGAATATGAAACAAGAAATGAAGTTAATATGCGAAACACACCTTGTTGTTTTTCTCTAAAAAAAATTTTTCACTGTAAATTTTTTTGGAACAATTCGTCAAAGCGATGTTATTTGATCTTTGTTGATGATGATGATTTGTTATTCATTCAATCAAGAACAAAAAAAAAACTTTGGACACGAACAAAGTTTTGTTGTTGTTGTTTTTTTGTTGGATAATTGTTTGAAACAAAAACTCAGATGTGTAAATATGAAGAAAGAAAAAAAATATTTTCTTGTAGATGTTATGGACTTTGATGATGATAATAATGATACGGATAGAGACAAATTTGTGGCTTCATCATCATAATCATCAAGATGATTATTATCAAGTCAACATTATTTGAAGAGAAAAAGCAATACAGATAGATAGAGAAAGAGTGTGAGAGAGAGAGAGAGAACGAGAGATATGAATGATAGTTTGTCGTTAAAATTATTGATGATAATTATTATTATTGTGATGCATAGAGAAAGATAGTGTATGTGTGTTTGACAAAAGAAATAAAAAGAAAGAGAGAATATATTGTGAAATGAAAAATTTGTCACCAAAATAGAGAATACGGCAAATGTTGTCTATTCAATTCAATCATTTTTTTTTGACAAATATTTGTTCACACATTGAAAGTACCAATTCCAATTATTAATGATAATGTTGAAGAATCTGTATTGGAATGAAAGAAAAAAAGAAAAAAGATTTAAAATTTATGATATGTGTGAAAACTATAGAAAAAAAACTGGAAGCAATTTAAAATTTAAATCTGTAAATTCAAATATCCGATTATTTTTTTTTACTTTCAACCACCGTTATGTATCAAAACAAAAACATATTCAGACAATTCCCGTGTGGATCGTCGTGGATTCGAGATTCAAGAAAGAAAAAAGCCGCTGTTTTTTTCCATCATTTTAATGACAAAGATGATGGATTGTGAAGATGTTTCAATTCATCAACAATATACGATGATGAAGGAAAAAAAAGCCTTTGTGACAATTCATTCATAATTCAAAAAAAAAAAAATAAATAAATTCATTCAATTCGGTAAAAAAGCAAAGAAAATTATATGAAAAATTTTTGTCAAATTTGTCAAATGTGTCAGTCAAAAGAGAAAACGAAACAAATTTTTTTTAGTCAAGCCGAAAATCAAAATAAATAAATTGAAAATGATGATGTGAAAAATACGCTTTCTGTTACATTTTAAATGATGTTGAAAATATTTCATCATTCAAACATCGTTATTCAAGCAAAGGTAAGTGCAAGTGTTTGGGTTAATGATAAAAATGAAAATCTTCATTTTCAAATGTTAATGGATTTTTCTGAAAAAATAGTTCTTTGGTATAATCCAGAAAAAGAAAACAAAAACAAATAACATTTCCTATCATTTCTATACATTTTTTTCTTTCATTTCATTTCAATTATGATAATATTTTTTTATGATGCATGATGTGAATTCAAAAATTTATGGTAAAGCACCTAATATTTTGAAAGTAGAAATAAAAAAAAATGATCAATCAATTATCAATTTGGTCGAGGAGATTTTTTTTCCACTTGATTTCGTCATGAATCGTGATTAAAATGTAATGAAATGAAAAGCAAATGAATCAATCATTAATGAAACAATCACCTGATCGGTAGATGATGATGAATCGAAGGATCGTGAAAAGCCAAATAAAAACCGAATGTATGTGTGATATAAACATTTCATATACAATGATGATTATCATCATCATCAACTATCGGTCTCTAATGACCGATTCGTTCATTCAAAAACGAAAAAAAAGGCCAAAAAGTTAATTGAAAAAAAACAAAACGAAGTATAAGATGCCGATGGATAAGAAAATTTTTGTTTCAATTCAAATTATCCCATGGCTAATTTCGTTTCGTTTTTTTTTTGTAAAAATAAAACAAGATAGATCGAAACAGAAAAATAAAAATCGAATCAATAGATTTCATTCAGGTCGAATCATTAACAATATCGTTTCTTATTCATTCATCCATTCATTGGATTTTTGTATTATGAGAATTTTTTTTTCATTTCGACTGATTAATTAAATGAACGAATTGGTTACGCGATCAAGATAAAAATAATCAATTTTACAATCTTCTTTTTTAGTAATTTATAAAAATTTATTTCAATCTACAATAAAATGTGAAACAAGTATGAAGTGAGAGAGGGAGAAAAAAAAGTGGAAGAATAAAGTTTTAAAGTCGAACAACATTACGGCAAATGAGTGCACATGGACATGATGACATTTATAAATGAGAATTAATCTCCGATCAAAAAAAAAGAAAGATCTGATCACATTTTTAATGATAAAATCGTGAATGCCGAATATATAATAGTCCAGATGATGATTAGCTTTCATGTATATCTCATTAAGATCATAACAAATCATTAACATTGATTTGGGTAATCTAAACTTAAATTTTTCTACGAAAATTTGAATCTTCGGGTTTTTGATTTGACATACATTCATTATGATTATCATCTTATTGTCCTGTCAATTGTAAATGTTACTTTTTATTATTCATATTTGTTGTTTGTAAAACATAAGTTATTTGTCACATGGGAAACATGAAACAAATTTTTTTTCATCAAACAAAATATAAATATTCATAATGATGAAACTCTATAGAGTGAGAACGAGAAAAAAAACTTATTGTTTGTTTTGGGAAAATAAACATTGAAAAATTAACAACTAAAAAAAACAAAAGGAAAAAAGTGTTACTAAGGTCATTCTTTTTTTACAAATTCATAATTATCAATTCCATCTTTTTGTCAATTGATTTCATAATTATATTATTGTAATTTGAGAGAAAAAAATATGTAAATTCTAAATATTTGAAACAGAAATATGAATGCAATTTGGTTTTGCAATTGAAAATTATCATCTTCAACTAATGTCAAAAAATTCTTTGAAAATCGGGAAAATTCAACAAACAGCTAGAAAAAAAATCAAATTGAAATAATTCAATATGTCTAGTTTGGGTAGAATCGTCGATCAATCAAAATCGATCGATCGTTTCCGAAGTTTCTATAGCGACCAATTTGAAATGAACAAAAACAAGAAAAAAACTGTATTTAAATCACTGTAACCTAGACATTAACCTTGATGAATTTTTTTTTTGTTGTTGTAACATTATTATTGATCGTCTAATTAATAAGCAGCAAGGTAATAAGCAAATAATTTAATTGTTAATATTATCATCAATGTTCAATAATGATTATTTATTTTGAAAACAGTTATAAACTTTAATCGTCAATAAAATGGTCATTTTCTATATGTAAATCGATTTTTTTCTCTCGTTCATTGAAACGAAATTGATCTGGATTATTTATCATTGTTAGAATTCATTTCGAAAAAATAAAAAATCCAAATTCAATGTATGTGTTTGTCTCAGGGGATTGATGAATATACAGTGATTGAGAATGTATATGCATGATTAAACATTAGGGTTATTTATTCATTCAAATTTTTTTTTTGTTGTCATTTCGAATCTGGATAATCAATGTCAAAGTAATGATGAAAATCTAGAAATAAAATCTGTCAAATCAAATCATTAAACCGAATCGAAATTTCTGTCCAAGATTTTTTTTTCGACTGAAAAAACACGACAAAATAATTATCACCATTTGAGTTTGGATATGAAAATTATCACAACAAATAAAGTGATATAAAACGGGAATCAAATCAAAATGGATGTGAAGAAACAAAAATCAAACGTGTCAAGTTTTGATGAAATTTTCTTGTAAAATATTGTTTTACGTAGGATTCTTTTTAAAGCAACAGGAAAAGACATTTTATACATGACAAAGATAAATGAACAAAAACCAGAAAACAATGGGATAAAATCACAACAAAAAAAATTGTTCGGTTGTAATAATCATCACACACACAAGAAACCAAATGTTTACGATTAACCAAAAGAAAAACTGAAACAATAGAAATGATTATTGTAATTTAAAATGAGTTTTGTCAGGTGAAAAAAAACAAAACATTTTTGTTTGTTTGTTGTTGATGGTTGAATTGGTTTTAACGAAAAACCGAAAAACTAAACAAATAAACCGGCTTACTCCTGCAATCGGTTATTCGAAATGACTTTCGACCGAATCGGGCGTAAGAGTAAAAAAAAATATTTGATTAAAATTTAAAATTCAAAACTTAAACATCATCATTGTATGAATCAAGGATTATGATTCAGAAAAAAATAAGAAAATGAACAACAATTGTAAAGAATGGCGAAATAAAACAACAAAGATTTTCAATTGTTGTTTTAGGATTAATTTCAAAAAAAAAAAATTTCCAAAGAAAAACAATTAAAACCGAAAAGAAATGATTTTTTTTTGGGCTTCTTAATCATCATCATTCGTGACATCATTATTATCATCATCATCTTTCAATGATCATCAACGAATTTTCAGGTGATCAAAATAATTTTTTTTTGTATATCTTCTTCATCTTAGTTGATGAAAAAATTTAAGAAGAAATCACAAATCAAACGACAATTGAAAAGAAAATTGTGCTATACACGATGATTTCATCATCGAATGATGTCAAATGAATGAAATCAGGTGAGAAGAAAAACAATTTTCATTATTCTTATCATATCTTGAATGAAAAAAAAAGAATCCAGGAAGTATTATTACAGCCAAACGGAACAAAACAACAAAACAAAAATACACAATACATAATCAGGTGTGAGAAAATAAGATGAAAACTTATTTTTTTCGAAAAAAAGATTGTCAAAATTTAATAAATAAGGGTTACTCTTAAATTCAATTC